CTATTCAAGAGTTATAGCAACGCACTTTGTCAACACATATCTTGCATCCGTTTTTGCAGCCGCAGCATCTGCCCATTTACTTGATATAGCAGTGGATAAAAGGGACAAAAGTATCCACATATCCTGCGTCTGATTTGCAGAAGTATTATACACTGCTTTTAGGCAATAAGGCAGCCGAAGCATGATTTATGTTGCTATATTGAGCCTGTATCCAAACTTATGAGTCATTGACCAGCTACCAAAAAAAAAAATTGGATCTCGCAAAGCACTTTTCCTATAATAACGGTGGGGATCACGACGTTGTTTTGCTCGGCTAGCGCTACATTCCCGCTTACTATTAGATAACACTCACAAAACGTTTGTGCTGTCATATGGTGAAACATTTCTTGTAATAATCACTTATACACAGATTCAATGCTTTTTCGTAAAACAGACCATTTTCGGATAGTGGAATATCGCGTGTCAACTGTCTTTTCCAATAGATTTGCATCTCACCACAAATTTTGTTCAGCGTGTTATTTCTGTGATAAGCACGAACCTAAGAAAACAGTTGGTTACATTTGTGGCCCAAAAGTTAAATTTCATAGGATTACGGGCTGCTTCAATACCAAACGGGTTCTGCCTTTTTATAAATCAAGAGACATTGAGGTGCAACCGCCTCCGTTAAAATAGACTCCCCCTCACTTTCCGACTTGCCGTCGATTAGCTAAGAAGGTGGCGGGCTGAAGCACTATGAACGTCATATTCCAACCCTTGTAGTGCACTGTGGAGTTAAGAGGGCGTGTGGTGTGGTACTAGTGGACACCTCGCATAAGCGACTTCCGTAGTTGTTAACCGCAATGAAAGCACTGCCTAATCCTGTCTAGCTGCACGAAGTCTGATTACATCCATTTTGACGGCTACTTGGAAAGGCAAGCGTAGAGTAAGAGTCAGAATGCAACGTATATTGACTTAGAAAGCAAGAGGCAAAATACTTGGGCTGAAAATAGCTGTCCTACAAGACATATGAGAATTCGTCGTCCCATTCGTACTGGGATCGCGCTGAGACGCCTCGTGAATTGTTGGATAAATAATTTTGCCCATTTTGGCATATAAGATACCTCAACGGTTGTAAGTACTCCCGCCAAGGTGAAGCGTTGGCTCGATTCTAGCAGAGGTGATCGCTTAACTGTATTCTTGAAGGTCTTGCCATTGTGGGAATCTAACGTCAGATATTACGGTTTGCTAGTGCAGCAACATTTGACCATCACACTGCACAAACTGTAAGGTAACCGATATGTGGCTGCTGTACGAATTATCACGAATTATGCCTTGTCGGAGACGGAAAGCTGAGACGAGATGCGTAGAATATCGTACTCAATAATCGGAAAAAAATTAAAGCGCATGCGATGGCACGTATCGCCGCGTACATGGCAGCCCCTGCCTTCATGAGATTATTACGATAATCGAGTCCAATGGCATAAAAATACTAGAGTCCAATGAATTTGACCAGCACTGGTGAATACGAAGAGGTGAAGACGAGCTTGCCCACCGACTCCAAAAACCTGCCGTCCTTGATAATCGACGCGACTCAAGAGCAACAGCGAGGAGTCGTCGGGTAAATGATGGAGTCTGTGGTACACGACGGGAGGGGACATTGCATGAGCGAGTTGATCGTAATCA